GCTGTTCACCCCCTCCAGCGGGGCGTTCACCATGGACGCGTCATCCGAGGAGTCCATGGCGAACGCCGAAAGAGACTGCTGCGCACCCGCTGGAGGGTGTGCGAAGCGGCCGTACCATCGGCATCACTGAACGTAACTCGGTGGAATGCCAGCGGCAGCTCATCGGGAACATCGCCATGTTCCCCAATCTCTTTGATGAGGCCCCGAACGATATTACGTCAACAATGCGTAGAATACATTGTACATTTGCATATTACCCTCCTATTTTTGTTGTATGTCTTTCTTTTTTTTCTTTTTCTTGTTTCGTGGGCCCTGTGGTCCTGGCCCCGCTGCTAGGAAACGAACTTTGGGAGGATATCCCATACGCGTTCGCAAAAGTATTCGCTGTTTTGCGTCTGTGATGCGTTTGTTGTTGTTCATGCCGTGAAATCCTGCGGCGGCAAGAACTTGTCTTAACTTTCGTGCCATCAACCATGGGAGTATTGGAGTATTGTCTTACGCCTTCGCCAACGAAGCCGAGCTTCCTTCCTCACTATTTAACCTGTCACCCCACTTGAGCACCCGCAGAACAGCGATGCCATACCATGCCATCATCCCCATTCCGCACGCAGAAAACAGAGAAGATGGCCATCTTCAGCCGACGCACAGCAGTGTGTAGATGCCTGTGCCGATTGAACCCGTACGCCAGATGCTCGTGTTGTGAACGTCTGGATGTGGACCTATTTTGGCCACCCCCCTTGGTCTGGTCATCTCCAAGCTCTTGCAGAACAAGTAGATTTTATTCAATCATATGCATGTACATAGCTCCGTTCGCTTCATACCCTACCGAAAGCACCCCGACGCTGGATGATTCTCTCCCCTGTAGCCCCCTCCATCCACTGGTTCCCTAATGCTTTCTTTTTCCCGACCATTCTCTCTTCGTCCCGCAGGAGGCACAGGAAAGGAGGCTTGCGCCGCGTGGCTGGAGCCGGAGCGACGGCGGGTCCCGGGTCCACCGCTGGAACCAGCAGCAACATGGCTTCTTCTTCCGCTTCCGTCAGCAGCGGCCCCACCGGTGGCGGCGCGATCAGCGGCGGCGGCGGCGGCGCGCGCGGCGGCCGTGACGCGGTGATGCCCGACGTTGCTGGTGCTGCCGCCGCCGCCGCAGGTGCGGTCTCCTCCTCGAAGGTGGATACTTCAGCGTCGTCGCCTTCTCGTGCTTCGAACGCAGCCGCCGGAACGGCGGCGGCCGCCGCCGCCGCTGCCGCTGCCGCCGCTGCTACGTCTGCGGCGGCGGCCGGCTCTCGCTCTTCCTCGCCGACGCCGACGCCGACGCCGGCGGCGGCGGCAGCAGTGGCGAAGACGTCCCCGGGCGTGATCGGCCGCCCCTCGAAGACCAACAAATCCGCCGCCGCTGACCAATCAGCGGCGGCAGCCGCCGCTGCCGCTGCCGCTGCCGCCGGCGGTAGCGGAGCGGGGATTGCGGTGAGCGCGACGGCGGCGGCGGCGGCGGGAGCGCGAGAACGCCTGCTGGGCGATGCTTCGATGCCTGTCTCCGGGTTTAGTGGCGTGGTCACGAAGGCCGGCGGCGTGGGCAGGAGGGGGGGCGGGGGCGGGATGGTCACCGGGATCGCGACGGCGGCGGCGGCGGGCGGCGGCGGCGGGGAGGGGTGGAGGCGGTACGTGTATCCGTCGGGTACGGTGTACGAGGGGGACATGGTGGACGACAAGCGCGAGGTGCGTCCGGGAGTTAGCATCGATATCCGGCCGACTCAAGTGTTGCCGTATGGTAGAGGTTCCTGTATGTAGCGCCTTCCTCAGGAGCAACTACACTACCGTATGGGCGAGCGCGCTTTCTAGTTGCGGCCTTTGTGCGTGTCCGACTGGTCAAGCATGGACTGACTTCTCTAGCGAGTTGGCAAGAGTGCGGGAGGGTGTTCCCGCTTGTCGTCCGTCTGTACCCCTACCTCGCTCAGCACGCTCTCGAGCCTTGTCGGAGGAACGGGGGTCAGCTCTCCCCCATAGATATCGGGGCGCGAATATGTTTATCGTTGAGGCCCTGATCCACGTGCTCTCATACAAACACATCTGGCAAGGAGATTCACTGCTTGAGCGGCTCTCTGATGCAGACGGGTGCCGAGAAGTGCCAAGGGAGGCAGCAAGTTGTCCCCGTCAACAAGCCGCGCGACTATTGCAGCCGATCGCCCTGTGTAAGGCCAGTGCAATCGCGTGACACATGTGCTGGAATGCTCACCAGGCCTCGTACTCTGAATAGAGCCTGGCGTCCTCTATGCGGCATTTCACCACAGGGACCACTTCCATTCTTGCGCATATTCATGGCTTTCGTCCCCGTCCCCCGTCCCCCCCCGGACTGCCGGACCCGCCTTAACCCTTTCATGAAGGGTGACGGAGTCTATATAGATAAGAACAGCAATCGTTACGAGGGTCAGTGGAGGAACGACCGCGCTGAGGGCTACGGCATCAAGGTCTTCGCCAAGGGCGACAAGCACGAGGGTTACTACTCCAACGACAAGCGTAACGGGTTCGGCACCTACTACTGGGCTAACGGGTGTGTGGCGTGTGTGTGTGTGTGTGCTTCTTTGAGGTCGGGATGGTTTTGGTATGAGGAGAGCTGCGGCAATGGCAACATGCAACGCTTTTATTTCAAACAAGTGTACCGCGCGCTATGGTGTGTGACCTTGTCCTTTAATCCCCCCATCTGGTGCTGTTGGAGATTGATGACAGCCACAAAATGCCACGCGGGAAAAGGATCCAGCTTTGCAAAAGCATCCCTTATCTTTCCCATTGAAAAAACACCGAGAAATAAACGTGCATACAGAGCACACAATTGCTGCAGGTATGTATTCTATCTCGTGTACAAGTAGAAACGGCGGTGCTCCGACTTTTGAGAGAGGGCGTGGTAAATGGTCAAATGACTGCGTAAGAAGCAGAGCAGGGCCATCGTACCCCCCGCACCGAGGACGAACGCGTGGTCAATGGTCAAACGGCTGAGGCTTGCGAAATATGAGTACGCCTCCCCTGCCGCCGCCCCCAACTCGAAACGGACCTCCCCACCCCCACCCCCCCTGTCGAAAATAGGGACCGGTACAAGGGCGAGTGGAAGGACGGTATGATGCACGGGAAGGGCACCTTCATGTGGAGTAAGGGCGACATGTACGAGGGCCACTGGAGGGCCGGCAAGATGCACGGACACGGGGTCAAGAAGATGGGGAACGGTGACGTTTACGAAGGTGTGTGTGTGTGTGTGTGTTTCTTATTAGCATCGACCGCGCTGAATTGCTGACCAAAGAAAATACGCCAGTCCAGACTCAGTCCGGGTAACAATGGGTGTGGGTGTGGTTTTGCCTTGTTTCGTTTGCGTCGCGGCCGCGCTACATAACAGGCTGACCATTGAAAGCAAGTCAGTTCTTAGTGCGGCTAAAACACGGAAAACGCTATTCAAAGGCCATGACCTGGGACCCCGTGGTGGGGGGTCATGTGGCAGGCTAGACTGCTGCTGCTGCTGCTGTTATGGTTGTTCTATTTAGTTGAACTTGCTTGCGTCTTCGGCATGGCCTGCCTACCCGACTATCGACCTCTTTGATCAATGGACTTTGTTTGTGGGTGTTGTCTGTGTCAGCTGTAGCCTTCACAGGGTAGGGGTTATCTATTGTAAACGTGTTGGAATGTGCGTGCAATCGGGGAAGTTGGGCTAGGATTGGGGTTAGGGATCGGGTCTGCGTACCCCCTCCTTGTTCTAATTTCTCGCGAAGGCGGTCCTTTCTCGTGTCTGTGGTCTTTGTTTCTTTCTATCTCATCCCGGCGTGCGTGCGTGCGTGCGTGCGTGTTTGTTTGTGTCGTCGCAGGGGCGTGGAAGGGCGGCATGGCAGACGGGTGGGGCAAGAAACAGTTCCGCTGCGGGGATCTTCACGAAGGCTGCTACAAGGAGGACAAGCGCTGCGGCTTCGGCATATACATGTGGTGAGCGAGGAGATGAGCTGTAGCCGAAGAATCGATAATCCCCCGTAACGACATTCGGAGTGCCGACGGATAGTCAAGATGCTGCTGTGTGTCGTTTCTGTCCTTGCAGACATCCAGAATAGCAGCTGGGTGATTACCACACACACAGGAGAGAGATAATTGAGAAAAGAGAGGGAGAGAGAGAGAAAGCCAGTCAGACAGACAGACAGACAGAGAAAAACATGACTACCACTCGTGTGTATACGAATTATCTAATTGTTTTCGGCTCGACGAGACAAGGGTAACATAAACGGAGGCCGCCGCTGCCGCGCGCGGAGCCGGATGAGTTCAACCAGCAACACAGCTGTTCCATCCCTCTGAAGCGTTTTCATTGTTAATGTCGTCGTTTCGCCTGCTCCGATGATTCTTCTGATTGGCTAAGGGTAAACGGAGACCGCTACGAGGGCGAGTGGCGCAACGGCCGCATGCACGGTAAGGGCGTGAAGGTGATGGCCAACGGGGACGTGTACAACGGCACCTGGGAGAACGACAAGGCGGAAGGCAACGGCGTCAAGGTGACCAATCGATCGATGCCTTTCTCGTCTCTCGTCTCCTCCCCGTCCCCGATATGTTGTTGTAATGGAGAAGATTTTTTTTTGTGTGGAAGGAAGGTGTGGTGTTGTTGCTGTTGCTGCGTTGTGTGGAAGGTGTGGGGTTGCTGCGGTTCGCTGCTCTTGTGGTTACTCTTGGGTGGTTTTGCTGCTGAAACTGCCGTCGTTCGAACCAAGCGCGCTAGTGTTTAAGTGCTGGTGTTATTTGTGCAAACGGACCATTTGTGTGCGTGTTTTTGTGGTTGGTCCCGTATGTTTTGGCGCCAGTCAAGTTGCACACGCTTCGGTTGCGGTGTACCACGAACATCTCTGACGTGTTGTACCAGCCGCGGGGTCGCACAGCAAGGAAAAGGTGACACACACAGCAGGTGGATCTTCTTCTTTTTTACCGTGACGCACAAAATATTGGTTCTCGCGGACACATGTCCTGCCCAAAACCAAAAGCTAAAAATCAATGAGGTTAACGAACATACCCCCACAAAAACGGTACGCCCGCCCAAAACGAGCTGATAATAATTTTTTTGTGTGTTTTTTTATCACATATGTTATTCAAATATTTTGTGTGACTTTGCGCATTAATGAACAATTTTATTTAGGTGTTCGCCTGCGGCGACCGTCACGAGGGCGACTACCACGAGGACAAGCGACACGGCTACGGCTGCTACACGTGGGACAGCGGAGATCGCTACGAGGGCTACTGGGGAGAGGGACGCATGTCCGGGAAGGGTGTCAAGTACATGGCCAACGGGGACGTGTACGACGGAGAGTGAGTAGAAGATGTATATATGCGTAGCCTATAGTCTTGCTTGCCTCCGCCGGGTGTATGGTGTTCTGCGTTTTACCTCTCGTCACTTTCTAATGATTGAAACGGGCGCGCGCGGGGGGGGGGGGGGG